TCCTGGTGGACCCGCTTGTAAGGTTGGATGCACCAGAGGGAGGAGTGAGCATGTCGGACACTGATGACGTGCCAAAGTCCCCGGCTGCTGCCCCCTCCCAACCTGAAAAATGTGCCCTAGGCTAGCCAATCCTCACGCCAGTAAATCTAAGCTCTGCCTCCCCCTACCTTCTTTAAAAACTCGCTGCCTGCCCTGCTGAGCGTGGACTGGAGAGGAGAGAGACCACCCTCCCATCGGGTGAAATAGGATCCAGGTCCTGATTGGCTGAGGTAGGATCCGGGTCCCAATTGGCTGAACTAGAATCTGTGAGCTTGCCCTTTCACAACAACACAGAGTAACGAACTCCATATTCAAAATATAAACATTCTAGGAACATTTACGTACAAAGGGACTAGCTTCAAAATCCTGGGCAGAGTGTAGGGGAACCGCGGGAATACCAGAGCACTTAGAGATAGGAACACTAAGTCTCCACTATGAGGAAACTCAACAGAAAGAGGTGAGAGCAGTTAACATAACCGAGAATCAGAGTCTCATAAATCCATCTAGAGAAGAGCAATAACTTTTGGTGGAAAGACACCATCATCCCAAGACAATTGCCCAGGGAGGAACGGATCAGCACCTTGCTCTCCCGCCTCCCTCATCTCCCTCTGCTCCTTCCATACAGAAGAGGGAGGGCGAAGCCGAGAACGAAGCTCCTCAGAGTCTAATCTCAACGCTCTACAAATTCCTTGCAGCCGGATGCCACACTTACAAATCTTACAAATCCTAAGAACCTAGCATATATTTAGCACACAGTAAATATTCATTAAATTAATTGAATGAGTAAGTGAATGAATCATTTTTAAGTGGGAAGGAATTGATGTAATTCCAACAGTAAAAATGGAAATCTATATAACACAGATCGCTAATCCTAAATGTAACTCTTCCTGTGGTTTCTTGTAAATCTATGTGAAACCCAAATACTTAAATTCTGTAACACCCTGGCCTAGGTTTCAAAATTATTCCTTCAGGTAATCTTACACAATTCTATGCATATCTAAACATAGACCAGGCCCTATGTTTTCTATTTATTTTATGGTAAGATGGCTCTTGAAATGTATCATCACTAATTCCCCCAGTTTTCTTTGGGTGTTATAGTGTAACATACTAATCTCTAAATGAAAACAGGATATTTGTTGGCATGAACCAGTACTCACTTAGGCCACCCCAGAGAAATAAATCTCAACACTCCCAGGAGAGCAGGGGAACCTTGTTCTTTAAGCATCACCTGACTCATCCAGAGAGCAATCACCTTTAAATAGCATAAGTGAAAATCAAGTCCCTTAGAGGCCTAAACTGTGTGGCTAACTCCATTTCCAAGTCAGTTTTTCCACTTGACTGAAGCCATGGCCCCCTATGTCATTCACACTCAGAAAGCCTATATCCTCAGGCTAATTAGGAAGTCATTCTTCTCTGTCCTTTCCTTGTCCTTCTTTTCTTCTTCCACACCAGGAGACATCAATAAAACATTCCCCGGGGACATAATTACATAGAGAAGGAAGGAGGGCTACAGGTGTGTGTGCCTGTGTGTATCATGTGCCAAGTTCTTCATGGACTTTATGGAACTTGGGGTTTTTTTGTTCAAAGTTTATACATTCTACCTTGAACATAGGTATGACATGTATGTAATAGATGGTACAGGAAGAGACTGAAGAAAGAGGAGATGGGATGAAGGAGGGTAGGAGAAAAAAAAGAGGAAAAGATTTTTTCTTCCACTTGGCTGTTCATAATTCTTGAATCAGATTCTTAACATCAAAGTAACAAAGAAAAATGGAGAAAAATGTGTAAGAGAAATAATATGTGGCACCCCAAATATTCCAGAAGCTTAAAAAGACCATGATCACAGTTTGACAGACTCTATAAACTAGTAAGGAAAAGAAGCTTTTATAACACAGGAGATCTGACTGACTTGAGTGAACTTTAAGATAAAGACAAAGAGACTTAGGGAAAAAAAGTGAACTCCATATAAAAATGGTCAATGGGCTTTGGAGTCAGAATATGTAGGTTTCAGTGTGGCTATGACTCTGAATGTGTCTTTTGACAAAGAAAAAAAGAATTCTGATCAGTTGTACAATTAAGTGTCCATAAGGTGAACTAAAAAACAATGGCTAAGGAAAAGCTTCTCCTTTTCCTCCATGCCCACACCCACAAGTGACAGGGTGAGGGTGTAGAAACGTGATTTGGTAGTTTTTAAATTTATAGATAAAATTTTTTGTCCCTGAATAAAGTGGCTAAATTAAACTAGATTTTAAATAACCGAACCTTCTGTTTTCCTAGCAAATTTCTCTTAATGATGTTTCATCTTTTGCCCAGCATCAAGGTTGTTTATATACTTACATGAAGATCTGCCTCCTTTATAATGTCATAACCTGCTTTTTGGAATTCAGCAAAAGCCCAGGGGACTTTGTGAATTGTCAGGCCATTCACAGAGTGTACTGGCTTCCAAACATTGACATGAAAGATGTCCAGGAGAAAAATGGAAAAGAATTAAGGTTTGAAGAGAGAAGGGAAAGGAGCTTACAGATTTCTAATCAGCATGTACTTTGTGACCGGGTCTGCATCCTTGGGGGCCGATCGTAAGGGGTCCTTGAGACCCAGTGTTCTGTGCTGGTGGGGGAGGGGTCGGCCCAGCGGCACTCCAGGGGTGCAGCATTGTGGGACTCTCGGAGGGGGTCCTGGTGAACGATGTTTCTGTCTGGGGGGTGGTGGGGAGGAGGTGTTTCACCAAGGGCGATTACTGATTGCAATCTTGGGGACCTATCGGAGGGGATCCTTGCAGACCCCTATTGTCTGTTCTCATTGCAGAGGGGTTGGCCCAGCGGCACACCAGGGCTTCAGCCTTGGGGGATTATTGGAGGGGGTCCTGGCGTACCCCTATGGGTCTGTGCTGGCGGGGTAGGGGCTGCAATAGCGGCACAGCAGGAGTGCAGCCTTGGGGGCCGATCGGAGGGGTTCGTGGCTGTCCCTATGATCTGTGCGGGCGGGGGAGAGGTCACGTCTGCGGTACTTGCTGGCGGCAAACTTTTGGGCCTATTGGAGGGGGTCCTGGTGGACCCGCTTGTAAGGTTGGATGCACCAGAGGGAGGAGTGAGCATGTCGGACACTGATGACGTGCCAAAGTCCCCGGCTGCTGCCCCCTCCCAACCTGAAAAATGTGCCCTAGGCTAGCCAATCCTCACGCCAGTAAATCTAAGCTCTGCCTCCCCCTACCTTCTTTAAAAACTCGCTGCCTGCCCTGCTGAGCGTGGACTGGAGAGGAGAGAGACCACCCTCCCATCGGGTGAA